TTTCAGGAGAGAAAACGATAAAAATGCTGTAAAATATTATTCGCAATTGAATCAAATTATAAACGTGAGTTCAAAGAATATCAAAGGAATCAATAGCTCTTTTAACGTTTTCAGAGTTACAGCTCTTTGACCAGTGTCAAATGGATGGGTTGGCTTTAGCTTGGCCTCCTTTATAAGGTTTTGGTAAAAAAAATGTCATTCATTTTTTTTGAAATATCGCAACATGCTTTGGCACTTCAATTGGGTGCGGACAAAATGACACAACTAGCATGATCACTTACTAGACCTTTTATTTCAGTCCTCTGAAATCTTATATTTGTTCAAGCTTTGTAGGCTCCTCTAACAAAGGCAGTGCAAAAACATCGGTCTAAAAATGAAATTCTTGAGTGCTTGTGTGTAGTTGACTATAACAGGTGTTCCTTAACTCCCTTAGTTCATTTTACCGAAAATTTCTTGCTTAGATAAATTTGATTTAATTTGGCGTTATCTGACTAGCTGAATCCATAAAGCCGGGGCGTTTAACCAATTGCTTTAGAGGGACAACTTAATATTATAATCACAGTTATCAAGTTAACTGAAGGGTTCATCTCATCACAGAGTCTTCAGCCTGACAAGAGCAGTGGAGCAAACACCGAATTGCCAAGTGTCCGAGCAATGTCATGGTTTGAACGTAATCTACTCATAAGGCCAGGGCTTTCAAGTTTCCTCTATAACCAATTGCCTTAGTGGAATAGCTCATTTTTACGGATTTAATTTCTTAAGATTGTCAAGAAGAACCTGTTATAGTCTACGTGTTTGTTGAAAGTAAAAAATTTCATCTTTAGAGTTCAATTTTCAAGCAACTGACCTAAACTAGATTCACATACTCGACTCTTTCATTTGTAAAGATCATCATCGTCATTGAACATCTTAAATAAAAACATAGTAATTGTCATATGCAAATGATGCCCCATGTTGTCCGTACCTTATGAAAGGAAAAGGTTGTATTAGTTAATTGTAAGAGCAGGGTACGGTGTTTGAGGGTATATTTTGGGTAAGGTCAAGGTCCTTGTTTTAAAACATGTTACTTTGTCAAAGATCCGTAACTTTGAACCATTCACAGAGTTTCTTAATTTAAATGATATTCAAAGAATTGCAAGTTTACAAATGTGATCCATTGCTTAACATCTTTAAAGTAACATAAATTTATTTAAAAGTCCTTATAAAAACTTGAGAAAAAAAATGGAAAAACAAATTCAAACAAAATGTCTCAAATGATGAAATGGTCTTCCTCACTTGGATGCCCCCAAGTTGTTGAAGTCGATCCGATTCTTGTTACGTATTTTCTGTATGATTCTCTTGATTGTAGAGTAATTCTCGATAGTGCGCCCCGGGACTCCGCTGCAATGAGCGTTCTCATCATACTACCTGGGGTACGGGGCTTCATGGATTTCTCTGGATATGGTGACACCACATGTGCGTCGAACAAATGTTGGTAAAGCTCCTTATATGTCATAGGGTCGAAGTGTTCTCATTTTTTGATGAATCATGTGAAGATAGTTAATGTGAATGTAAAGAAATGAACAAAATGCAAAATATGTCTGAATGCATGATGCATGAAATGTTCGAGGCATTGATCTAAAAAATGTACCTGTTATTATAAATAATCCTTATTGGGGCAAAAGTGTTACGTCTTAAGAGACAAAAATATTTTGAAGGCATAGACCCCGAACAGCTTCTGATAGGTTGACTAGTCTTCTGCCTTCGTTTGTCACCGGTTGAATACTCTGTCAAACCGTTCTGGCTCCTTTGGCTAAAATATGCAAATAACGAGCTGCTTGCCCCCAAAAGGTCTCGAAAGACTGCATCGCCGGCTTTCACTCTATGTCGAGCTTGTTCCAAACGAAAGTGCCATCGGAGCCCTCCACCCAAAGTTTATCGACTTGTTTCTAGAATTTATCAATAATGATCTCCAGCTTAGCTAGGGTTTCGCCATCTTGATCTCGCAGTTTTCGAAAGGACTCTCCGGGTCAGTAACATTTTCCTCGTCTTGCCCCTACACCCTTGTCTTTGAGTATTCTTTTGTCCGCGGTTGGACTTCTGAGTTTTTTTTATCTCTTTGTATTATAACCCCTTTGTCCGTTAATGCAGATTATTTACGTTTAACAAACACATTTTTGGTGGATCAACACCTCGTTTTAATGATGCGAATGATAAAAAAAATGCCAAAGAAAAAAAATGAAAGGGAGGAAAAAACAAGTTAGTGAGATAAGGAAAATAATAAAAAAATGATGAAAATGAAAAGTCCTACCCCACATGATATCTACCCCACATGCTTATTATTCCTACCCGGACATGATTTCTATCCCGCGTGCTAATTTCAAACAAATCCTAACCGCATATTTGTCTAGTTCGCATGCTTGGAGAAGAAAATATAGCAGGAAATAAAAATAGCCTAGGGTTTGGAATGAGGTTTTGGGGTGGGCTCTAATTCCCTATAATCTCCCGATTTAGGTTCTAAAAAGGTACTCGAGTTCTCCTTGCTGGTGCCCCCTCGGGCTTGTCAGACCCTTAGTCCTAAGCCCATTACAAGCTTGTGTGGACTAAGTTAAACTCGAGAGGAAACATTCCCTTATGCCCGCACGGTGAATAAATTCACACGAAGACATAAGGTATATGAATCCCGAAGGCTACTTTCTAGGCATATGCGGTGAATAAATTCACACGAATGCGTCGCTTTCACCCCCACTTAAAAGGGTTTGGAGCTCGGGTATAGAGCCAAAGATGAAAAATCTGAAATCATTGAACAAACGTTAGTACAACTATTTATTTGAAAAATAATCAAAGGTAAATAATTGGAATCGAATAAATAAATTAAAATTAAAATTTACAATTTTCGCATAAAAAGACAACGGAAAATTAATTCTGGCCTGACTCACTTACCTGTCCCCAGCGGAGTCGCCAAGCTGTCGCAACCGTCTTTCAGTTGGGCCCCGGAATTGGGCTTCGACTTGAAAAATGTGGATTAGAGTCGCCACCGACCACTTTAAAACGAATTTAGGTGGGTCGGACACCATCTTACCTGATCTGCGTTGTATCAGAAACGTGTCGAGTTCGGGAGTCGGTTACGGTCAAGGAAGGATTAGCACCCTTAAACCGCCCTTTCGGTACCAATTAATTTATCGGTTGTCTTTAATTGCGAAAATTTAAATTTAAAAATTCAATTCGAATTACTTACCTTCGATTGATTAAAAATTCCCCTCAAAAGCCAATAATATCGTTAGATTAAAAATATATATGGAAAAAAATAATAGAAAAAATTAATAAAATAAATAAGATAGATATATAAGGATACAAACAAAATCCTCATTCAAAAGGAATAATGTCATCTCTCTAAAAGTTAAAAGAGATACACGTGATTGCCATAATGTCATATCTCAGGGACCCACAATGTGAAATCATGCAAGATTGAACATTTCAAAATCACATAAGAATCTGCTGAAACAACATTATTAAAGAATGTGCCCAGTTATTTACCTATTCGTTCGTTTGATTTACATATTCGAGTGACCCATGCAAACTTGAACTCAGTGCCATGAAGTGTACAAAATACCTCTTAGGTTCCAAATATCAATCAACAACCCAAATTTGTGAATCTGCAGATGTGACGAGTACTTCTGATGAACTTCCAGGTGCAAACTGGAAACCTATAATTTTCCTTTGATGAGATTTCTTCTTTTTGTTCTGCAATTTGATTTGACTTTGCTGTAGCGACTTGTTCTCAGAGGCATTGTATAAACGACAGCTTCCTCTGTACGAGCCAACTACTGCACACTGGCCATCTGGTGTAAAACAAGTAGCGATATTCTGAAAGCTATGCTCCAATAAAGTTACAGAAGAAAGCCGCCCAGTGACCTGCTCCACTATTGAATTGCTTATTTCACTTCTCGGCAGTCGTAAAGTCTAAAGAGACTTGACATTATCCGCAATGAATGTAAAGCTCTGGTCATTAGCTAGACCGATAACACAAAGCTTTCGAAGTGAACCCGAGATTCTAGTTATCAGCATTTGAACCACCAGAGAGCGTGAGACCAACGCCAATTAAATGTGGGAATGAAATTGCCATCTGATGCCATTAACCGGAGGCTCCGTTTGTTACGCTCGGCATTGGTCATGACTCATGAGCTGCTCCCGGAGAACTAGCCAAAGAAATTGTCGCACTCTTTGAGGCCCATCAAAATTTCAAACAAGGTTCCACCGGTCATCTTTAGTATCCCAAGTATTCTGCTGGACCGTGTTAAACGCTGACTTAACGGAGCACATTCCATAGGGTTCCCAACGCCAAATAGCTTGGTCATCAGCTCGAGTAATATCATTGCGTGTTGCCCTTTCGGCCGCCGACCGAGAGTCTCGGGCAGAACCCTCTCTTCTATTTTTCGTTTATGCTCCCTCAATAATTCGTGGTCCCCCTCTCTGATTTTTGGTTCCCTTTTAAATTAAAAAAAATGCTAAAAGTCATTTGAAAGTGGAGAGCAATGAGCTTGAGGGAGGAGTGGTCCACAACTCCCATGAAAAACAAAACCCACGTGATTTGTGGTGAAAGTGGTGAAGATAATGGTGGGTAGTGTATGGGGCCTACAAAAAATAAAAATAAAATAAAATATTAATAATAATAACAAGTAAATAAATGTTTTAAAATCATATAATATATAATTTTAAAAAATTATTTTTAAAAACTATATATTATATGTATTTCAAAAATGGGGTTTTAAAAACTATATTATATATAGATATAGATATATATGTATAAAATAAAAATAAAAAATATGGATGAAAATGAGTGTCTGCACTTAGCTAACATAATTCACTAAAATGAGGCATTAAAATTTCATTTTTTTTAGAGAAGCCAAAGTCTGAAACCTACTGGAAATTGCGTGAAATGTACAACTAATATGATAATGTCATTCGAAAATTCAAAAGGAATCAATAGAAAAAAGAAAATAAAATAAGAAGAGAGGAACCTGAGAGGATTAGAGCAAGTGAGGAAATTAGATGACCAGATAGGGGTTGACGGGTCAAGTGAAGGAAGATCGTCTAACAAACCATAATCATCAAACATCCATGCGCTGGGGTTTTCCGAGGAAACCGGCTCCGCCCCGTTCGGTTGCTGCCGGTATATCATACTCCCAGCAAGGACTCGGTTAAGTCACGGCAGTGGAAGAATGGGTTGTAGCAGAAATGGAGAAAGAAAGAGAGAATCGAATAGAACTGGGGGGTATGAAACGAGTGAATTTGATTCGTTTTTTTTGGGGGGGGGGGGGAGGGTAAGGGTTGAGAATAATATTCATTGGATTTGGGTTGGGGAATTGAGAGAGAAAGCCACCCTTCATTGTTTTTTTCTTCATTTTGAAGTATTTCTTTTTCCATTCCACCACCGTCGATATCATGACAGTGCCCACCACACGCAAGGAAAAGACCAGGCCAAGGCAATTCTGCTTCAAAAGAGTCGCATATCAACAGTGTTTCTGGAATTGGGTTATTTTTCCCACAAATCAAACTTCCATTCTCGTCACAATACTTTCATAGGATAAATTTCTTATTTAATATTTAAACTATTAGTTTTGATTGATTTTAGTATTTAAATTTTTAATTTTAAAATTATATTTAAAGTTTAATTTTTATTTTATTTTAGTAATCGTTCAAAATATAAAGTTAAGTTTTGAAAAAAAGTAAAATTTTAGATATTAAAACGGACCAAAATTAATAGTTTAGCTAAATAAATGTGTTAAGTTTTTAACGGCTTAGTATTAAAATGAAACAAAAACTAAACATTAACTATGATTTTGAAAAAATTAAAAATTTCAATACTAAAACAGACTAAAACTGATAGTCAGATACTAAAGCGTAATTTACCCTAGTTTTTAACAAGAGTATCACATCATGCATATTATTTATATTATTAATTTTTTAAATTATAATATTAAATTTTGATTTTTAATTTAATGAAAGATGAATAGAAGGAGGATGAGTGAGAACAATCGTCTATTGAACATTTTAATTTACCATGTTTGAACGTCCAATTTTTTCTCTTAAAATTTTTATAAATTATGTCTATTTTTGTCCCTTGAAATTTTATAAATTCTTTCCTTCTTAAAATTTTACAAATTCTCCACCTAATATTAAATCTTGCGTTCGTTCGCGATTTTAATTATATTATTAGATAGTTAAAATTTAATGATATAATAATATTAACAAAACGATACTATTTTAGTACATATATTGATGTCTAAAATAATATCTTCTTATGTATTGGGGGCATTTCATAACCTTGAGGTAGTGGGATCGTGTCCCACGGAGGGCATTTCATAATTTGGATGTCTCTCACGGAAGCTGCTCTCAATCTGGTGTTGGGGGCAGCCTACTATCTTACATCCCCTTACCCCATTACATATGTGAATAAGGGTCAGTTAATTTTTTTTATATATTGAACTTCAACAGTTAATCGATTTCGTCACTAAATTCTTAAATATTTTTGTTTTTTTAAATTGTACTGTTTTGACCGTCATTGTAAGCTAATCATTGGTCATCTTACTAACAATATCAATATCAAAACGTTTGCATTTCATTTATATTTTTCCTTCTAGGATTGATTTCTCATGTAACCCACTCAAAATCGATGAAATTAAACAATTTTTTTTTATCATTTTAGGGATTTAAGGATTTTCTTAAATTTGAAGGATATGGAATGTTTGTTTTAAAATTTGAACGGTGAAAAAAGTAACACCCTGATTTCGGGTTAGTAGTTTTGGGCTAACCCGAGAGAGAGAAATAAATAAACGCGTTAGATTTGCAAGAAGCCTTTGTCCAATTTGTAATGATTTGGGCTTGGATTGAGCCCATTATGATTAAAAATGGTATTTTTGATTTGGGCATGAATGAGGAGGGATCAAAGGCAATTTCCCCTAAACTTGTTAAAAACTAAATTCACATTAAAAGGGATGATGTAAATATGCAGAAACTCCTAATTTTCTTCATCTTTCTTTGTCTTATTTCCATTCTCTTTTTTCTCTATTTTCCTTCTAGTAAATGTTGTCAAATGAGGTATCTTTATAGCCCATTCTTTCTAGTCTGAAATTGTAATTGTAAAGGTAAGCTTTGAAATCATCTTTCTTAGAGTTTCATTTTAAGCCCTCAATCATAGAGTTTGTCTATGGTAGCCATAGAAGAGGTTTAGTGGGAGTATTAGGTTTTAGAACCCTAAGTTGCTCATTTTGATGTTTAGAATCACGTTTCTAGCCTCCTTAAGTCTTTTAGACGAGTTAATAACTCATTCTTTGTTGTTTCTAGTTAGGGAAGTGGGTGAATGCTCAAAGGTAAAGGACAAGGAGAAAGAGGATCTTGGGTAAGCTTGAAGGTGTTTTTTCAGCTTCTAGTTACAAGGTAACACATTTCTAACTCTTCTCTATCAATTGTAGGTCAGTATGTATAGTATTGAAGCTTGTATGGATGTATTAGTCATTTGGGAACACTTTGAGTGATGGCATGAAAATGGATGTTTAGTGAGAGAACAAATTCAAAGGGATTTGTGAGGAGAGCATCGACACTCATCCAAGGAGTATCGATATTGTTCATTGGGAATCGATGCTCGGGAGCTTAGTACCGATACTCAGGGATCTAACCAGATTCCAGTAGCCAAAATTGGTATCGATACTCCCATGAGTATCGATACCGAGAGTAGAGTATCGATACCAAGGTATTTTTCAAAACATCGAATATAATTTTGGTATTGATACTCATGGGAGTATCAATGCTGATGGAAGAGTATCGATACTCTCGGTATAAGTATCGATATTGGAGCATTTTTCAAAACATCAAATATAATTTTGGTACCGATACTGGAGGAAGTATTGATACCCTAGGAAGGGGAGTAACGATACCCAATATGAAGTATCAGTATCATCGTGAATATTTAGGCTGTAAGCCTAGCTTGAGCTAGAAATATGAGAATGTGGTTTTGATGAGGGGAACCTTCCAATAAGCTTACAAATGGAAACCTTAATAATTATGTAATAATATAAAATCTTAACGACTCCGTAAGACTTAAGCCTTGTTTGATGCTCGAGAAATGACAAAGACACTCGATTCACTTTGTACGACGGTTATGTAATAGAGAAAGGATTATCCGTATATATCCAATCTAATGCAATGAAACTTAAAACACTAGTTGGACATTGTGCTAATGCTAAGTGAACCAGACACGTCCTGAGTATTCGAGAAGAGTAGACTAACCTGACCAGGTACGAATGTTTTGTGACCCGGACCTTGCAAGAAAATAAGGGTGTGAGTTCCGTGATGTTATGTGACCCCAAGCTACACCATGATGCTTACTTTTATTGATTATGATAATGTGTCCAAATGTTCATGATCATATTGCTGCATGCTTATATGTTGAATGCATGTAGTATAGTAGGGTTATTTATGTGACACTGAGCTTGTGAGCTCAACGTATAGAATGTGTTTTTATGCATAGGTCCGTAAGTGCCAATTCGAGGAGCTCGTCGCCAAGTTGCAGGACTTTAAGACTCGATCATGTGTTAGAGTATGAGTATTATAGTGGGCATGTACTGTCATAGACTCTTATGTAGAGTCGAGTTGTAACTCTATTTGAATATTATTATTTTGAAGACTATTGTTGGGAAACCTATTATACTTCATATTCTTATTTCTATGTTATCCTAATCAGATTTGTGGATGTGTTTAAAACTATTTCAAAAAAAATGGTTAACCATTTCGTTAGTTCCGTGTGACATTCTTATCCACTAAATTTTTGGATCAAATCAGATTAAGGTGTTACAAAAACATTATTTAGAAAAGATGAATAACCTACTTCAAAAACTAACTTTATCATATGATCATTGAAAGCGAATTGAGTATTAGTATGTCAAACTTTTAAATGATTTTACATCGATGTTTATGTGAATTTTCGTCGATATTTAAGTGAACTCTGTGAAAAACATCTTAAAAAAAGGAATAAGAGAAAAGAGAGCGAAATGAAAAGATAATTAAAGAAAATAATTTATAAACTCAACTTGACTACTTTCTTTAAACCCACCACCAAACGTTTTACATGTTCAATAACGTATAAGACCACAACCACTGGTACTATGCAGCATCAACACCCATGGATTGCACAAACCCATCAACCCTCTTCCTCATCTCTTCCGGATTCCAACCAACGAACTTGTCCACCACAGCACCTCCCCTCATCAACAAAAACGTCGGCATGGCCTTTATCTCCATCCTCTTCGCTACCTCCTAAGTTCCCATTCACAAACAAAGCATTCCAAGTCATGTTCATAGAAAATAGCAAACAAGTAACCATCAACAAAATCGACAGAGAAGATGAAACCTGCAGGTTCAAAGAGGACAAGATTGTTACCTTAACATCGTCAACATCGACAGTGAGGAATAGAACTTGTTGGAAAGTTGAGGCCAGTTCTTCGAAGAAAGGGTTCATGGCCACCGAAGGCATACACCATGAAGCAGTGAAGTGTACAACAATCTAAAGCAACCAAAACAGATCAAAATAAAGAGAGGTGAAAGGTTTTTAGCATGAAAATTGAAGAGCTTACAGGGCAGCCTTGATTTGTAGCTTGGTCGAAATAGAAATCCCAGGATTGAACGGAGTCAACGTTCACAACTCTAGATTTGTTGTGCTGATCCTGTTGTGCCTCCTCCATCTCTTTCTTCCTTGGACGATAATCTTGTTTAATGTATTGTTTTTCTTTTCTTTTCTTTTTTGCTTGAAACAACAGGAGCGTTGCTTTGGAATTTAGACCGAAACGCACATCTGTCTTAAATTCCTTTTAATGTTGGAAAGGCCCACCTCTTTGAACCTTATCTTTAACAAAATTTATAGAAGAATCTGGAACGAAATGACAAGACAAACTTTGGAATTACTCTATGCTACTATAATCTTTATTGATTTCCTTTTTATAACATGTTTCGTCATCTTGATAATTTTGAAGATAAGATAATATCTACTCTTTAAATTTATTATTTTATCAAATAATTCCATTTTCCTCTTCAAAAAGCAATTATGGTGTGATCCATGATATATCTTCCTGGCGAAGTGACTTAACTGGTATACCAATTGGTTTTGTTTTGCGTTCACAATGTCATAGGGAATTCCTGCTATTGAAAAACAATGGGCGATAGCTAAAGGAACAATAAACACTTGATTTACAACAACTGAACAGAATGCAGAACTCGCAACATTCCAAAATCCAAAGGCTTAAAAACTGGTTGCACCCATGGATAACGTACTGCTTTTTCTATCATCCAACGGCTAAAGAAAAGAGTTACTTTATCGACAATTAGTAATTTAACGAGATGATACGAACTGGTCAACTTCAATAATTAAATAAATAACAATTATTTTTACATAGTTTGAGTTCGTATATGTTATCTACATGAATATTTGAATGTTTATTGTCAAATAGTTACGAGTATTCAGAACAAAAATTATTTTGTAATCACCATTATATTGAAGAATCTTTTTATAATATCTTAGTCATTAAGTTTATTCAGGGTGAGTACCTACTCACTTTAAATTTTTTTTTTTATGTTAGTTTATTTTATTATGATGTCTACCTTAAAATTCTATATGTGTTCATATCATACGAAAAATTTATGTTGTTATTGTAGTCTCCACCCTATAAAGTATTTCTGAATTCATCACTAATCAAATATGACATAAAAAAGATAAGATGTAATTACACTTATTAACTAAACATGTCCAAAAATTATAATTTCTTGTTACTAGTGTAATAATATATTTAGGTTAAACTATATCTTTAGCACCTAAACTATCAATTTTGGTATGTTTTAGTACCTAAACTTTTAAAATTTTCAAAATCATACCTAACGTTTAGTTTTTGTTTTGTTTTAATACCTTTGTAACGTCCCGAATCCTGAGTTAGGAATTTTAGACTAACCCAAGAGAGATTTAGATAAGTCCATTAGTTGCAAAGAAGCCTTGGTCCAAGAATTTTTGTGTTTGGGCTTGGGTTGAGCCCATTAAGTTAGGAAAAGGGGTGTTTATAATCTCAGCATGAAAATGGAAGGACCGAATGAGTAATTAACCCATTTATTTGAAACAGGGATGAATTCCCATTAATTGGGATGATATCACTATTTGTTCTCATCTTTTTTCCCTCACTGTTGCTTTGTCTTCTTCCTCTCTTCCTTGGCATCTTCTTTCCTCTCCAAGAACCAACAAAGGTTGAAACTTTAAGAATCCTAAGCATCCTTTGATAATTCTAGGGTAAGAATCATAAACTACTCCTCCTAAGCTTCAAATCCAGCTCTCATTTGCAAGGTTTGGGTGTGTTAATGAAAAACGAGTTTTAGTGGGGTTTATGGGACCATAGGATTTCAGTTCGTTTTGAAGAGATTTGGTTTGTAGAAATCGTTTCTAGTAATTCCCTAATTTCTAAAATGAGTTACAACTCATTTTCATTATTTTGATTAGTGAAAGAGCAATGGGAAAGCTCTAAGGCAAGGAGCAAGGAGAAACTAGTCCTTGGATGAGTTGAGGACGTTTTTCCGCAACTAAGCATCAAGGTAACACGTTTCTAACTTGTCCATACCACATGTATATCATTAGATGTGCATATATGGTTAGTTAAGTTCATGAAACATGCTAGAGTAAATCCATGGTAAATTTTGCATTTGATGTTTATAAGCATGAAATGTGACTCCTTTTGACCTCTAAGACCTTAAACAAAACTCTAATAACATTTTCTAGTCTTAGGGGAGTGAATAGGTGAGTTTAATATGCAATTTTGTGCCCAAAACATGGCACTTCAGGTCGTCAGTGTCGGTACTAAAACAATACTACCGATACTTCTCTTCGAGCAGTGTAAAAGCAAAGGCAATCTGTGAGGGTAATATTGATACTTTCTCAAGGAGTATCGATACTTGTGGTTTGATCTCAATACTCAAAGGGGGTGGTTTCGATAACAGGATTCTAGTGTGCAATTTTGGTATCGATACTCATGGGAGTATCAATACCAATGGTAAAATATTGATACTCCCCATAGGGGTATCTATAATGGGATATTTTTCAAAACATCGAAGCCATTTTTGGTATCAATACTCGGGGTAGTATCGATACCCACAAATAGGAGTATCGATAATCCCATAAGAGTAACGATATTGAAGGTTTTTCCCAAACATCAAAGCTATTTTTTATATTGATACTCACCCAAGTGTCAGTATCGATATTGCTGGCACAATATCGATACCATCGTCATGTTTTGGGCAGTTTGGTTCTTTTGGTTTGCGTGTTCGTATTTGGGTGTTTTGAGGTTGTATAAGCTTTAAGTACTCAATGCAAGTGAAAACAATCAAGTTAACTGGAATCACACCTAGAAATCAAGCAAATTAGGATGACATAAGATTGGCCTTTGTTTGACGCTCGAGAAACGGTTAGGACACCTGAGTTACTATGGTATTATGACGATCACCCTTTATGTGAAATATCTGGATATTCTTTGATCAGGTACGCATCCGGTACACATAAAATTTCAAATGGTACCCAATGCTCTGGAGCCTATATGTGGGTTCGGGATGTGAGCTTTCGATGCACATAAAATTCCAATCCTCACCCCGAAACTCTTTAGTAGGTGAGATAGACTAGGGAGATATGATTTGATGCACGTAAAATTCCAGTTCTTACCCTAAAACTATTCCGTTTCAAGGTATGATGGCATGTTGTCCGATATGCACATAAAATTCCTCCGACCACATCGTTAGACCTATCTCATGTTTGTTGATGTACTTTTGCATACCCATGGCTTTATGCATCGGCGTGTTCATGTAATGGATTTATATAGTATTGCATAATGCATAGTTATTGTAACAACCCAACCCGTACCTGACCCGAATACGAGTCTGAGATGTCACATTGACTTTTAAAACGATATTCTTATAAAATATCAAAACATTTGAACTTTTTTTTTAGAAAATGCAATAATATTCTATTAAATTATGCTTCATTATAAAAAATTTGAAAAAATTACGTATTTATGAACAGTACTATACAATATGAACACCATACTCTTGAACTTATTCTTGAACTCTTCTACAATTCTAACCACATCATTTGATCTTTTAATGTTCTTATGGTGATATTTTTCCACCATACTCTAGCTTGCCCACGTAGTAACGAACTTCTCATTTTAACTTCTCCACTTTGGAGAAATGAAAACCTTCTAATATCATCTTCATATCATTTAACCCAAAGGTCTGTAACAACAAAACCTTCCTCAAATTCACCCTTGCACTCGGGTGCTCTTAACCTTTTTAACTATTTCGATATATTCATTCTATGAATTAAAGAATTATAAAATTGAAAACACTTCATAATATTATTCAACATCATGAAACATTCTATATTCTTATACAGGCACTCCCTGAGGTGTTCGTTTTTCTCCCTGCCTGGCCAGGGCAGGTGAATTCCTATTACCTTCAGGTATATCACCTTCCGCTTCACTTTGGAAGCTCTCATATATTCATGTGCTCATATCATTTCTTCTATCACACATCAAGTATGCATATGATCATCCAATTCATATCATATAACATATGTCATTTGCATATGTTCACATATCATCTATCGTATCATATAAACATATATATCTTATAAATCATTCTCAGATATTCACTTATCTTATATAACATAACAATTTAACTCTATTAACAAGACAACACACTCCTTACCCTATCAAATCAGAAATTTTCCACTGTGTTGCCATATATACTTTTTAAAACACTTTTGACTTCGTTTTTAGCCTAGAATCGGCTAAACCGTAGCTCTTATACCATTAAATGTAACACCTCAACCCGTACCCGACCCGAATACGAGTCTGAGACATTTGAACTTTTTTTTAGAAAATGCAATAATATTATATTAAATTATGCTTCATTATAAAAAATTTAAAAAAATACGTATTTATGAACATCACTATATGGTATGAACAGTACCATGAACAGTGAAAAATTTCGAATATCAATTGTGTATCGATGCACTGCTACAGTGTATCGATGCACTGCTACAGTGCATCGATGTACTGCTACAGTACTTTCGTAAAACGTTCATAAAACTCGTAAAAATTTACCGTTCATTATTATACATTTTCCATTTGCATAAACACGTTTAAAACATTACAAAACTCTATCATATGACTTTAACAAAATAGATTAAAACATATCGTATTCAAACCTTTATTTACATGCCAACCACTATCATTATTACAAAATGCATATTATTCAATTATCTTCTGATCTGATCTTTGGAAAGGAGAAACTGACATGTCTTGCATAACTTTTATCAATCTCCCTCTTCTCGAAACCTACGCGTGAAACAATCACACGCTAAGTCTTTGAGTTAGTGAGGCATATAAAACATATAATAGAAATTATAGAACATTTCACATAACAGAATGCATACCTGTACATATACCATCATTAATACACATCATATAATTCATGTAATACAGTTCATATAACTAAAAACTTATATCCTTTCATATAACGAATACATGAATCTTGTAATTTATTCCAGATAACAAATCACATATACATATAGAATTCAGTATATTTTATTTAATCTCTTTATTAGCCTATGTACACCTATGAGAACTTAAGGTATGTTAGTACATTGAGATTGTGCACCACTATGTTGTCACTACAACTCGTATAAATATCCCAAAAGACCTATCCAAAGGTCATACAAAACCTCGGCAACTGTCCATAGGTCCCAAAGAACCTAGGTAAGC